ATGTTTATTCAAATACAAACTTAGATGTACTTATTTTACTAATCTAAAAAATAAATAAAAATAAAATACTATTAAAAATAATTAGAAGTAATATTGATTAAAAGTTTCAATTATTATAAAATGCACCTATAGTGGTTTTGCACCTATTATATGCTTTTATTATGTTTTTTAAAATTTTCTAAGTTTTTATATAAAATTTTTATCACCAATTTTTTTACATTAAAGTTAATATTAAGGTTAGGATTAGGGTTTAAGAAGGGTTTTTGGAGGCGTAGAGCATTTTTACTTAGAACACCTTACACCAATTAATTAGCCAGTTTTTGAGATAATTTTCATATAGGTGTAAAACACCATAAGTGCATTATAGTAAAATCCAAAAGTTTTTATAATTAGTTTTACTAGTTTAATATTAAAAATGTTACTATTTGGTTTTTTGCTTAAATTTTTAATATTTATTATAACTATTTAGAATAAGCCGAAATATTTAGGCTTTTGGCAATAATTCAGAATTATAATATTTATTTAGGATTTAGGAAGCAATTATTTTAATATAAGCAAAAGCCGAAACTTTTTAACTAATTATAACAAATTTAGGCGACCAACTTTACGAACCCTTTCGGAAGCCATATACAAAATTTATACATTTTTGCATGAACAAACATAAATTATTTTGCTATCTTACCTTTTTATCACATGTATATTTAAGTATGTACGTACGTAGGGATGGGAAGATCGAGCATTTTTGAATCCACTGCGCATGCTGCGCAGCCTGCGGCATTATGCAAGCTGGCCTAAATTATGCTAGCTAGCCTGAATTTTAAAAATCACGGGCCCGAATTATGGTAATTTTCTGCTAATGCGGGCCAGAATTGTTAAGTTCTGAAGTTCCGAAATATTCCGCATGCGCAGCGCCCCATCCCAATACATGCCCCGTGTCTAAATAATAATTATATTAAATATTAGCACTCCAATTGGAGAAGGTGATTCAAATTAGTAGAATCAGTCCAAGTAGCTGCACAAACGCCTATTTTGTAACTTATGTCATTGTTCACATATATAGTCAGCTTCCAATCAGTAAATTTGATTTTTGCATTGACGTTAACGCTGGTAAATTATCATGCAAAGTCAACAACAGAATGCTCCGAAATTGGAGATTGCTCGAAGGCCAAAAGAACCACCTACAATAGGCAAAATTATTGAAATAGAATCAAATTTTCGGAAAGTTAAAGTAAGCATCAAAGCATTATGACATGATTATACAAAACATCTAAATATATATCTATTTTTGTTGTAGTTTGATTATCCTAAAATTTATAGCTACACTTTTGAAGTCTCAAATCAAGAGCAACAAGTTTTAGAAAATTATAAAATATTATTTGAAGTTTTTAATAAATTGCGTGAAGACAATGAATTCGGTCAAAATACCTTTCCAGTGTATGCGACAAATATGGTTTATTCCTCCACTCCAATTGATGATAAGTCTTTAAATGTAAGTCTTTAACGAACTCAACGATAATCATTATTTCTAAAAAAAAAAAAAATTATAATTGGTTACATTAACGTTAATTTAATAGGTCAGAATAGATGAAAAGCAATACACTGCTTCTCTTAAGTATAGTGCTGATATCGATTTTAGTCCGTTGAAAAAATTTATTGAAGATGAAAATTATCACCTTTTAAATAGTGAACTCCTAAATCTTTTGCGCGTACTTAATATTTATCTCAATTTTGAAGCCCGCACAAAAAAAAATATTTTGACACGTGGCAAAGGAACCTTTCCAATCCCTGAAAGACCTAAAATTGTACGTCGTAATCTTGGGCTTATACATGGATTCTATCAAAGCGTTCGTATAGGATGGGGTAAGATTATAAATATATTATAACTGCTAATTATTGCATATTTAACAATTGAGTAAATGATTAAAAATTCATAGATCAATTACTTGTCAATACTGATGTATGCACCGCAATTTATAATAATAAATGGAAAAAGTTGGTTAGTTTGGATAATATCAACCCACTTGTACTACGAGAGGAAATGACTAAGGAGATGATTATAAAGTCTGTAATTAAACCTAAAGAGAGGTTTGATAAAATTGATAAAGGCATTAAAGAAGTGTACAAACATGAAAGTGATAAAGGGTTAAGATCTATTCAATTCAATATCGATAATAATAATGGATTCATAAAATTAAAAGGTAATACGTATACACTTTTATCGTGCTATAAGTCATGATTTAGACTAACAATTTTCACTTGTCCTTTTAGCAAGGGTGATCGATCCGCCAGCCATGATGATTAATAATACAAATGTCATTACTGAAAAGGGTGAATGGGAAACTATTAAATTTAACAAGGTAATTATTTAAACATATCATCACTTAACGTTAAAGTCTTTTTCAAAATTATCTCGGCAACTTTTTTTTTAATTATTACAGGGTGCTGACCTATATAATTGGTCCGTGGTTTGTTTTGCTCCAGAAATAAATGAGTCAGCAATCGAACCTGCAATTAGACAATTAAAAGAAATACTAATTTCAAAAGGATTAGTAAGTTTTGTTCATTTGTTGTTTCAGTTATCTTTAAATTAATATGTTAACTTAAATAATTTAGAATGTACCTAATATGCCAAGGATCTCGCGGCATAATTGCCAAGATTATGAAAAAGTATGTACTTTATTACAGTTATGGTTAACTGCATAATAAATTTATGAAATTCTGCATTGCAATGAATGATTATTTCAGTAATTTGGTCGTCAATTATAGTCGCAATACTATTCAAGCTAACAAGTTAATGATTTTTTTTTTTAATAATACACATATTATGTTTTGTAGTCTATTACGAAAGCAGCCCAAGATGCTATAATCGATCAATCCAGACCCGCACAATTAGTTATATGTATTATTCCAAGAAAGCATCAAGAAGAAGACGGCTTATATGCAAACATAAAGAGACTTTGTTATATAAAATTAGGCATTATGAACCAGTGTATTCTTAAAAAGAATCTCCTGGATGGAAGAACTAAAAGACTTGTAAACAATCTAAAAAGTATTCTGAGTAATGTGGCGTTAAAAATAAATGGCAAACTCGATGGTAAAAATTCACGTTTAGCCGATAATTTGCTTGACTTCAAGGCCGAAAGAGATGTGTGTATTTTTTAATAATTTACACTCAAAAATATAAGTATTTTAAAAAATTATTTTTGTGTTATTATAGCATATGGTATTCGCCGCAGACGTTTATCATCCCGGAAGCAAGGATAAATTAAAAGGCCGACCTAGCGTTGCTGCAGTATGTGGATCAATGGATGATACTGTAACAGACTATGCTTGCCGTTATCGTATGAATGAAAAGCTAAGACATGACGTTGATATTATCGAAAAACTTAACGACATGGTTATAGAATTACTTGAGCAACATGAAATCAAACAAACCAACCTTCCGGATCAAATCGTCTTCTATCGTGATGGTGTTGGAGAAACACAGTTTGATACTGTTATAAGTGAGGAATTAGAACCCTTGCTTGATACTCTTGAAAATCATTATAAATCTAAAGATCTGCCGACGCCAAAATTAACATTTATCATTATACAAAAACGACATCATGCTAGGTAAATTGCTGTCTGTGATATTCTTACGCCAAGTTTTTTTTTGTTTAGTTAATTGTCTTTTTTATTTTACTTAGATTTAAGCTGATTAATGGCGAGAATTGTAAACTTGGTACCATAGTTGATACCGATATTGTTATGAAAAAAGAATTTAGTTTTTGTAAGTTAAAAAAATGTTTTTTGTTTTTTCTTACATAATTTCTGCTTATTAGCCAGATTAAATTTAATATCGGTATTAGATTTACAATCCCACATTAGTCCACGTGGAACTGCCCGTTCTGCATATTATCATGTAGTCCTAAATCAAGGAAATTTTTCCGCTGACGAGATTTATAATTTGACATTTAGACTTTGCTTTTTGTCTTACAGGTATTTAAAAATGATTTTTTTAAATAAAATTCTTTTATTTATTTTATTTGAATTTACATGTTTTTTTTTTATTTCAGATGTAATCGCGCATTATCGCAGGTTACACCAGCTAGTTATGCTCATAACATTGCGAACCTTGCTAGATATTTTGTTGAATACAAGCCGATTGAAGAAAGTCAGGAAAATCAGGGGAATCAAGGAGGTCGTGGAGGCCGTGGAGGTCGAAGTCGAGGTCGAGGTCGAGGAGGTCGAGGTCGTGGAGGTCGAGGCCGTGGAGGTCGAGGAGGTCAAGGAAATAGAGAAAATCTAGAAGGAAATCGTGATGATAGAAGAAATCGTGATGACAATAATTTAAGACCTCCTCGACCTGAATATGTTCAGGATGGAAAAACGCTCATCGCCGACTCGAAAATTGAAAATGAAAAATTTTTTCTCTAGACTTCTCTTTTAATACAGTTTTCTCACAATGTTGGTCTCTAATTTTCATAAGTTTTGTCTAATGTCACGTTATAACGAGCTCTTCCGGCCTAGTCCCAAAAAGATAGCTTGATATTTTTTAGCTAAGGTCATACTAATTTAATTCTTTGTTTAGCATAATTCCCTGCCATTATGCACATCATATTACGTAACCAACAAATTGCAGGATTAGTCTTTTATATATATTTTTTGTATTTTTACAGCAATAGAATAACTATATTTTTTATCAATTTTTGTTTTTTATGCCTCCTCCATTCTTATGAATTATTCTATGTTATGTTAAGCAAAGAATCAATTTGGAGTGACCTAAGTACCTCTAGAATTATTGATAATTAATATTGATTAATTATTGATCGAATTATTAATTAAAGTACGTGGCAATATTTTCTCAAATTTCACAAATAATTGCTCAGACAGTGCTTTTCACATTTGCGAACTAAAATCTATCATATTAAATTTTATCAACAATTCTTTAAATTATTTACCGAAAGCTTTTTTTTTTTTTTTTTACAAAACTAATTCGAAATACTGGCGATGATCAAAGTTATTAGCTAGGTAATGCAGCATAATGAGATTGAAGAATTTTATGAAGGATTAATTGCATGTAATGTGGGGCGTCGTCGATATTATATTGATGTCCGCCATAGTTTATTGTATTGGGTTGTTGCAAATACCATGTTACAATTAATCTTGTGTAACTATTTTTTTAATCTTATGCTACGTTTTTGATGATTATGGGTTAACTTCTCGAAATATGCTTTCTGAAATGCAATTTCACCGAAGTCATAATACTGTACTGACAGTCCATTTTACTTATAGGACATAATTGGATCCGCGTTATTTCACTGGCAATCATAATTTACCGACAAGTTTATTTCACCAAGCTTTTTTAAAAATTGCACTAATTAACTCTAAATCTAAACCGACAATGACCGAATTACTTTGTCGATGAAATGATTGCTGGTGAAATAAAGTTAAAACCGTCAGTGAAATAACATGTCAGTGAGATAACTTTTCAGTGAAGTGATTGTCGGTAAATAAACAAGATCCGAAATGAGTCTTGTCGGAAAAAGGGATATCTGAATTATGGAATGGGAGAAATGAACCGAAGTAAAATCGCGTTAGGGTTAGGATTTTACTATTAATATAAGGAAAACTTTTAATTAATGCGCAGAAGGCAGTTTCATAGACTAAATTTTGGGTTATAAGCGATTTTTGACAAAACGAACGTTTGTTTTGAATTTTCTTGATCGTGTTACGTTACACCTGATCTTGAGATATGATTGGTCATGAAGCTATTTTGGGTGGCGATTTTACCCCGGTTGGAGAAATGGGAGAAATAGCATAAACTTCGGGAAAGCGAGAAATAGCGATTTGATTGATGACTTCTCATGTGTCCAAGCGATCACAGACACGATTTATATGTCACAACGTAGTAGTCTTTAATTAAATCGAAAAAATAAATACAGTAATTTAGTAATTATGAATTACTGTTAAAGAAAGATTTCATAAACTTATCTAGCATAAATACAAAAGTAAAATTCCTTCTTTGATATCTACTTTACCCAGTATCATAAACTAAAGTTTTATTACAAACAAAAATATTTAAATGGAAGAAGAAAATAGACCTCATATCATCTATTTAAAATTTCTCAAGAATCTGTAATAGTTAACACGGAAGAATAATACGAGCTCATAAAATTTAAAATACACTGTAGGCAGGGTTGGCAATGGACTATGATGGGCTCTGAGAAAAATGTCAATGGACATTGTCCATTGGGCCAATGGACATAGTCCATTGACATCTTCTAAGCCATATTTTGGTCCATTGGCCAACCTAGACTGTAGGTCTTTTTCATTAGCAAATTTATATTCCAGAAATTCGCAATTCAAGTTCAGTTAAGTTTGACTATATTAGTTTAATAAATAAATAAAGGTTTGAATATATTATCTATATATTTGTGTAATAAATATAAAATCGATTTTTAATTAATTGTAATAATGGGTTTCATTCGCCTAAAACAAGTTCTATTTTGTCTGTATTAAGAATTTTTTCTAATTTTAAAGCTAAAGTAACATAACAGTCGGCCGACATGTCGTTTACAATTGCAGACTTATTGATCAAATTAATTGACGTACTTAAATTTTATAAGT